CTGAAATATATTTAAAAAAAAGCTTAATGCCATGTTATCACAAAATAAGCCAGTTAGATAGCCTATATATATATATATATATATATATATATATATATATATATATATATATATATATATATATATATACTAGGCATACTGCCTAGCTTCGCTTAGGTTTTCAAAAAAGTTGAGAAATTGAATGATTAATTAATTAATAGGTGATTTGCTGTTATGTTAAATGCTTAGGGCCTAAATTTATTCAGTGGTGTACTTTTATTGTACCCATAAATTGATGGAATATTCGCAAACTTATTACTCGCAAGGTTATTATAACTGAAAGGGCTTTCAAAAAATTTATCAATCAAATATTATATTAAATTACTTTTGCAATTAATTTTACAATTTCAATACAATACTTAATTTATAACAAAATATCCATTTAAAACAATGCTACACTTTATGATTTTTGTTTTTTTCTTAAAAAGAGTATTCAAAATATTAAAAAAATTGTTACATTAAAAAGTTACCTCCCTTGTTCAAAGACCAAATGACCAAATCTCGTATAATGAGAATTTCACTCGCAGTCATTTTTAGCCCTCTTCGAGGGCTTTGATGCTGACCAACAGTTTTTCCATACGGCCCAGTCATCTATAGAGGTGTATGCAAAAAATTAGCCAGTTATACAAAGAGTAAGTACCCTAAAATTTGTGTAGAAATTACCCTGTTTTCCCCATAAAATACAACGTTTATATAGGGAAATACAACTGGTCAGTTTTGACCCCTTTACGAAGTTTTCCCAGATATGCCGAGTTTTTTGTGACACCCCAAGGCGTTCTCCTACTACCTCACAAAATTTCAAGGGGGTCGTCGTCGGAAATTTTTTTTCGTAATAGAGCTCGTGTAAAGAGAATTTCACTCGCGGTCACTTTTTAGCCCTTGTCGAGGGCTTTGAGTCAAACCGACATTTTCCCTAAAGGTCAAGCCATTTACCTAAGAGCATGCAAAAATTAGCCAGATATAAAGACGGTAAGTGCCATAAAATCCGCGTTGAAAAGACCCTCTGTTTTTCCCATAAAATACAAAGATTATATAGGGAAATACGACTGGTCAGCTTTGACCCATTTACCGAATATTCCCGGACATGGCGAGTTTTTTGTGACACCACAAGGCGTTCTCCTATCACCTCACAAAATTTCAAGGGGGGTCGTCGGAGGAATTTTTTTTTCGTAATATAGCCCATATAAGGCGCCGGTCAGTCGAGGTCAATTTTGACCCCCTCTCAGTAGACTTTTTGCCGAACCGTCACCGGCCCTCGTGTTCTATCGCCCCAAGGCACCATCGTGCCAAATTTGACGCGCCTGCGGCGCCGGGAAGTGCCCTGTTGGGCACTTGACCACTTCGCTTTATATATATATATATATATATATATATATATATATATATATATATATATATATATATATATATATATATATATATATATATATATATATATATATATATATATATATATATATATATATACATATATAGGCTATGTATATGTATATATATATATATATATATATATATATATATATATATATATATATATATATATACATAGCCTATATATATATATATATATATATATATACACATAGCCTATATATATATATATATATATACACATAGCCTATATATATATATATATATATATATATATATATATATATATATATATATATATATATATATACGAGAAAAATGGCCCGTTGAGGAAGGATACAACGGGCGCTAGGCTGATAGTGCTGTCTCTTTTCTCTAAACTAAAACCACCCCCCCCCCCCCCACACACACCACCCCCACCCCCCCCCCCCCACCCCAAAAAACATGTCTACCGTCCCATTCAACGAAATATAATTATATACTTTTTCCAGTATCCGCCCCATCCCCGAAAATTCTACCCCCGCCCCCGAAAATTTCAAGTACCCCCCACCCCTCTCCGGGGAGGAAAAAGTCCGAAAGAAACACTGGTGTCGCGCTTAGCCACTACCCGAAGAATTGCATTAAAGAAATAGCAAGAAAACCACTTTTTAGATTAGACACATTAATTAGGCGGTAATTTTATTATAGAGTATCGATGATGAAATTGCTTTTGAGTTGGGGAGGGGGGGGGGGGCTCAGACGTTCTTAAGCGGGGATGGGGCTTCGCCCCTACCCGAAGAATTGTATGCCAGAAACTCTTCACGCAAACCATTTAGATTAGACAAAATTGCCTTTTTATTCAATGTTTACTTCATATTACTGTGTGCGCTCTCCGGCTTGAGATTATTTTCTACTCTATGCTAAATGTGACGACGTCATACTTCGTTTTTGGAATTACTATGCATGTTTTTAATTTGCTTGTGTTTTCTCTAGAGCGTTCTTGTCAGATAGATACATACACAGATAGATAGATACACAGACAGCGAAACTATTAGTATTAATATATATATATATATATATATATATATATATATATATATATATATATATATATATATATATATATATATATATATATATATATATATATATATATATATATATATATATATATATATATATATATATATATATATATATACCTATTTTGGGAACATGAAATTGTATACACAATTTTTAAACAACGCATTTTCGGGGTTCATGTTTTGGGTCTAACACCCTTCTGTACACGCGGCTGAGCTATTAAAAGAAATACTTTTTAGGCTATCTCCATTACAGTGGCGTAGGCAGGGGGGGGGGGGTTAGGGGGGGTTATAACCCCCCCCCCATGGACCCCCAAAATGACTACTTTTTTACGTTAAGCTATAGCTATTGACTTGTGTCAATATTGTTTAGGGCTTAAACACTAAACACTTAAGCCTGGCAGCCTCTAGAACAACAATGTATATCATTGTGATGAGAATTGCCTGTAGAATTTAGTTATGAATTTTATTATCGCGCTAAAGTAAAGTATAATAATCTGGAACGCAGTAGGCCAAGGGAAAGTTGGCCAAGGTTAGATCAGTTAAGGAGTGTCGAAAGGGAGGGGTGGGCTACGTGGGTAGGCCTTAGTTGTCTAATATGATTGTAGTGCAATCGGAAAGCGTCTAGAAATGAAAAACAAACAAAGGAATTGATTATTATTCGCATTGAGGTTCTATAATGTGTATGTTTTTACTACTTCAAACCATTTGAAATTCATTTCACTTAATTTTTAAAAAGATAAGTAAACTGAAAATGATAAAGATGGCAGAGGGAGGAGTAGGCAGGGGTGAGGGGAGGGGGGGGGGGGTAGAACCTTCAAAATGACAATCCTTTACGTTAAGTTACAGCTATTGACGACGATGGACTTGTGTCGCTATCATTCAGTGCTTAAACAACAAACACTCAGGGTCGCAATAGGCGAAGGGAAAGCTGAACAAGGTTATCAGTTAAGGGGTGTAAAAGGGGGTGAGGGTGGGATGAATATTGGTACGTATCAATTATAAAATACTACCGGATGCACATCTGGCAGGAAGGCGTGGGCTTGACCCACAATTGTTGACACAAAACTTTGTGTTGGTAGGCTATATAAAAAAAACTGCGTATTTGGTTAAATATAGATGTAAAGCCAGGAACCTACAGTAGTCAATTTAGACAGAATAGAAGACCAATAATAATTTGCTTTCTTCTTCGTATAGTCGTGTTTTAATGTGTATCTTTTAACTACTTCAAGCAATTTAAATTCATTTTAATGATGGCGGAAGGAAAAAGGAAATTAAAAACTACTTTATTAACTGATTTCTTTACAAAGAAAAGTAAAACTGAAAATGATAAAAATGAAGATGGTACTATTGCTTTTCAAAGTACATTACATCAAGAAATTTCCATAAATTCAGCACCTTCGACTGTTTCTTACGCAAATGATATCGGCAATTTTATCAAAGGAGTTATAACAGACGATACACGGTTGTATTTATTAGAAAACATCTGGCGTCCTGATGAACTTTTAAAATTTCCAGCAAGCGGACAAAGAAATTTAAAGTTTCAATATTTGTGGCTACTTAGGTGGAACTGGTTGACTTATTCCAAATTACTTGATGGCGCATTTTGCAAATATTGTGTTTTGATTAGTTTGAATTATCGTGGTGTAGGTAGTCAGCCTATGGATAGGCTATCAAAAATTTCATTTTCAAACTGGAAAAAGGCAACAGACAAGTTTAATGAGCACCAGCAATGTGAGTATCATAAAAGAGCAATTTTACTTTCCCAAAATCGTAAATCGGTGATGGAGAAAAAAAAATTAACTTATTAAAATCTCCTTAAATTTATCATAAGTCAACAAATTCAAGAAAATCGTTTAAGATTAGCGCCCATAATAGAATCTCTAATTTTTTGCGGCCGACAAGGAAATTTTTAGTTGGAGAAAACTGCTGAAAATGATGGAAATTTGATTTTTATAATTTTTTTACGATAGTGTACATGTGTTACTTGTTACAAAACAATAGCTAATACTAAGATAAGTTAGTCGGTGGCACCCACGAGTTTCTATTGTCACCAGCCACCAATACTTTACACGCACGCACTTACACATGCATATGTACACACACACACACACACACACACACACACACATATATATATATATATATATATATATATATATATATATATATATATATATATATATATATATATATAAAATGCTGGAAAAAATTTGAACCCCCCCATGAGACGATCCTGGCTACGCCACTGCTCCATTAGAACCCTTTGGTGTGATCATTATTCTGTTTTGTATCAATTGTAATAAACTATTTTTGCACTTTATGTAAAAAATAAATATAAAAAATACCTTCCTCTCACCAAATTGTAAACTTTTTTTACAGCACTCCACACACTAGACAAACTTGTAAAAAAAAAAAAAGTAAAAAATACTTTATTTTTGTTTAGCTTTCAATTCAGCGGCCAGCTATGCACAGTGAACAAAACTAGAAACATTAATAACTTACTGTAATTTTATTGATGTATGCCGCAATTACACAATTTACAATAATGGTGTAAACATTAGTATAGACATATTTATCAGTTGTGTAATAACAACATGGTGCTGCTTTATAGTACTTTATACAGATTGTAGTACCCCTTAATATTTTTCATCTACAAAAGTGTACACGGGTTATATAATACAGTAAGCCAAAACTTTTTACAGTAACTGCCTAATGTTATTACAACACTGCTTATCAGTTATATGAAAAATACATATTTTTGCAATGGAAAATTCAAAATAATATTTTAACTATTCAATATTTATATTTGTTTAGTACTATATCATTTTTTACGAATTAAAATATAAACAAACGTCATTTGTTTTATTGTGTACTTTGGGGTAGAGATGGTTTAAAACATTATTATTTAACTCTGCTTTTATTTTTTTAAAACCACTTTTAACATTTTAATTTTGCTTTACAGAATTTCTGTTATTAAAAAAAAATTCATTGATTAAGGTGCCTCCACTAGCTTAAACATCGTTTTATGTAACATAATATAGGCCTACTGTTCCTAATAAAAATAACACGTGACTCACATGTATGGTGGTATGTATGTGTTGGGTGTAAGGGTGAGTCAAGATATTCTATTTGTTTTATTGTTATTATATGTGCATGTTTTCTAAGATTAGCACTAGCATACTATGGGGTAAGAGTGAGTCAAGATATTCTATTTGTTTTATTGTTATTATATGTGCATGTTTTCTAAGATTAGCACGAGACTTACGCAAATCATTGTTAAGTTCGTACTTGACGTAGTGTGAAAACTTATAAAATATAACAAATAAAATCTGTCTAAAATAAAGTTTAAGCATCTAATAAGATCTTATCAATCATGTAATTAGATACATGCAAATGTTAAATGCCATGCGTTTCTATAATACAAGTAAAGAATGATCTATGGAAGCCTTGATGATTGAGTATGAGAACTTAAAGTGGAGTGGAATGTGTGCCATCTGAGACTGTGTATTCTGAGTCCGATGAAACCGAGTCATTTTCAGGATCCGCTGATGCCGAGGTGTTGCTCTGTTGATCAACACTGTCCTCTGGACTCAGGTCAATTTGTGTACCAATATGGTTACATTTAATCTGAGATTTGTTTTTCTTATTTTTAGCGTCTTTAAGCTCTTCCTTTCTCTGTTCGTAAAACTCCGAGAGAGCGAGACAAATGAGGATAATGTTCTTGAGCACAAACGGGGAAATGCCGACACTGACGCCGTGCCATAGCACAAAGCGAGTGACGAGGTTGGGGACATTGACCACAAGCACGACTAGCAACCGGTGAATGTAAACCAAATGTTTGCTGATCCTTGTCTTCCCGAACCCCGTGCAGCACAGCGTCACGAGAGGAACGGTGGGTAAGACCAGATTCAGCACCGACTGCGCCAGAATGATTTCTTCTAACCCGTCCCACAAGGAGTCGCGGTCATCGCAGTTGAAGAAGACGTCCAGGATGTCGACCGTGTCCAAAATATCGAAGACCACCGTGTCGGTCAAGTCGTCGATGTACTTCCACTCTGCGCTGCGCCGCGGGGCGTCGTGCTGGGTGATCAAAAGTAAAAGGAAAATACAACTCCCCAGCGCCACGGCTGTTTTAAAAGTATTTGGACCAAAAAATGATGGATCTTTTTCCAGCTCCATCGCGTTTTTATGAATGATTAGAACGATCTTGACGCTGGCGTTGATACTGATACTTAGCCACGTAAACCAGGAAATGCTAAATGTCCTATGGTGACCGTTCCCGCCTTTTGGGGGTATTTTTAAAGTCGGACGAAAGGTGCTTGTCACAAGCAGGACGAGGTTGATAAAATCAGCCACCAGCCAGGCCAGGTAATCGATCGATAAATGATTGACCAGATAAAAGTCTAACGCTCCGGCCTGAGCCAGAAACAAAGCGATGCAGATCACACAGGCGACACCTTTGTGTCGGAGAGTCGACTGGCAGGATTGCATTGGGGCGATTTCCATTTCCGGCGTTACTTAGATTGGGTTGGGAAGACAAGCAGACGACCATTGATGATATTCTCAAAGAGTGATGCTTTCTCAGCTGTATAATCGTTAATTCTTGTATCCATTAAGTAGGTCTACCTAGGAAAAAGAAAATTAAGTGTTATTAGATTAGTCTAAGAATAATTTGAATAAGTTATACAGCATAAACTAAAAATCGTATCTCAAAATCATGATTCATATATGGAGAAGACACATTTTAAACCTAATGTATCATCTTTTCCCTTTCGTACCCAAAACATATGGGGCAGGTGACCTCGGAAATAGTGTGGCCAAAACTATGTCCGGCCGCCTTATTTTCCCGGGACTTTCTACTGGCTTGAACCCGGATTCGAACTCTACCGCTAAACCACGCCGTCACATAAACCTAATGCATAAATTTAAATATATTCTTAGCAAGCAGTTTTTAAAATTCTTCTCGCTGGACACGTTTGCCTTTGCAGTCATCCAATTACACTCTCTATTTTTACATTCTTCGCCAAACCATTCTTGCTTGGGCCGTTACCCATTAGCTCCCGATATAAATTTAATATAGCAAGGAGCATTTAAACCACACTCGTCCGACGGTCACAACAAACAACGTTGGTGTTTAGTGATAAACTGGGTGAGTGTTGTGAGGTTTACTCAATTTATGTCTTCTTCGTTCTTAATTGAAATGCTGGACGGCGTTGCCTTCAAAACAATTAAATATCTAATCTGTTATTATTATTTAATCTGTTGATATTAAATATCAATCTGTTAGGCGCCATATAATAGGTTCTTGACTACATTTCAATTTCAACCTCCTTTTCGTTTTGGATTTGCTTCCACCAAAGAAACTACAAAGCAGCAGTTGTTTAATTTTGGAGTTATCTCTTCTAGATGGGTTGCAGTTCCCAAGCCTCATCTACCCGGAGATACGAACGTGGGACTTTTTGGTTTAACCACCATGAGCTTTAGCGACCCGACCACTTCAATATCCTCAAATCATAAAGGGTGTTAATGGGCTCCTATTCACCTTTCGGAAGTTTCCATTAAGAAGCCTAAATATATGGAAGCTGTAGTGGCGAGTTACTAGTTTAAACTTGCGACAATGTCTGGTACACCCAACACGTTCCAAGCAGCTTTTGGACACACGTTGCACTTTGTAGCCAGACTGAGCGCAATATTTCACATGTAATTTCTAGGTTGGTGGGACGATTGTAAAAATCCTCTACGGCATACTGACGGGAATGCATCTACGTACTCAAGTTTTATTGCAAATAAACATTGATCAATAATCGTCAGTATTTAATAACAAGTTCCCAATTATTAAAAAACATAATGGCTCAATGATTACAGTTTACAGCAATGAGATAATAAAACAATGATAGAAAAACTTTCCAATACTGAGATTGTAAATGCACTAAATATATCAAACATTAATTTTATTTAGTTATGATAGTAAACATAAAAGCGTTGGTCTCAAAATGTTTAGGAAAGATTCCTAAATTGACTGGCGCTTTTATTTTTACTGTAATACAGCAAATATAATTTATGTTTATTAATTTATATTACTTCTTGAGTTGACGACTTCTTGGTCTAAAATGGATGCTTTGTACCTGATCGACTTGGATTTGCTAATATTCTCTAATTTAAATCACTTAACAGGAACATGTTTATATAACTTATTAACTTGTCTAAAAGATTTATAAACTTTCGAAGTGAACACCAGCTCACCTGACTTATTGAGTAATCGCATTCACCTCCATATTTAATTTTGGAAATTGAACGTGGTAACGTTTAAATTGATGACTAGTTTACAATTTAGTTAGACTGAAAATAAGATGTTCTTTTGTTTTTATCTGAAAAGCGGAGAGTTTTAACGAAATCGTTGCTTTAGAAAAGGGTCAAAATTACATTAAAATCCCACAGAGAAACGATCGGAAATTGTGGCATAAGCAAGAGCTTGTAAGAACAAAAAAGAAGACACAAAAAAAAAAAAAGCACCGATGATCAAGATCTGTCTAGGGTACAAAAAAAAAACACGTATAATTAAATCCTCTTCATCAACAGGTGACATAAATCATGTCAGTGTCAGCAAAGTACTTAAAACACAGTGAAACTCTGCTGAAATCAGAGGACTTGTGACAGAGTTATCTGTCCTGCCATCGCGCCCACCGCACAAATCAATAGACTGGATAGACCCTACACATGGTTGGTCGCGCATGAACAGGTTTCCCATTAGCCATTATGTCAAGGGATACAAGTCATTAGCGCCTGATTACGTTGTGTGAGTAAAAAATTTATCGAAGAGATAGCTGTCAATGTTGAATCATTTCACTCTCTTTAATTAAGCGGTTTCTTTTAAATGCACTAGAAAAACTGTTGCATTTGTAAGCATCAATAATGGAGAAAAAAAATTACATTAAATAATTTCAAATCAAATTCTTTGTAATAACAGTAAGGTGTCCGGACTTGTTCAAATGTCATAGGATTAGTTAACCCATCTCAACAACAAACACTTGTTAAAACAGTTTTATTTCGTTAAAGATGGATGTCGGGTTTAGGAATTTTACTTTCCCCTGTAAAACAAATGATTGCGGTTTCAAGAAAACTTTCAGATAGGAATGTCACGCAATGCAACCTTTTATAAAGCAATTAGTGCAACCTTAATGCAGTCGGAGAGGAGTGCTTGGGTGCATTCTGTTGATGTGAGTTTTCATCTCAGACAAATGAGTTTTCTAAGCGTATAGCGCACGCTGGGCAAGTTGAATACATAGCCTATATGATGACTGCGGCCTTCTGGTAATGGGGCGAGGGGAGGGAGTGAAACGCACTTGCAAGTAGCTATTACATAATTAGGCCTACAGGAGTGGAGTAATACACTTTAAGCACTTTATAATTTCAGTAAGTTTGTAACGTTTAAAATGTCTGTTTGATAAAACAAAATTCACATCAACAAATATATATTTCTAGATCTTTAATTATTTGTAATTTATACGTTTTCTCCTATTTAAAAAAAAATAAACTGACGATATTATTTATCTTCAAAACATATTTAGTGCATCTTATCCGCTGCTACTTTAAAAAAAAAATAATTATAAACTATCCAGCCTCAGAGGCGTAGCGAAGGGGGGTAGGTACATGTCCCCAGGCGCCGACCCTAGGGGCGCCAAAATGGGTTTAAAAAAAAATAAAAGCTCATTTTAACAGCAGTTTTAAATTATAAGCGTAAAATAATAATCATTTAAAAAGTTTTAAAAAACCCACGTTTTCTGATTGAACTAAAAAGTAGAAAATAAATACTATACATCACAATAATGCAAGCGATCACTCTACTATAAGCGATCAAAAACGTGGGGCGCCGAAGTAAAAGTTATATTACTATTGATTAGATAATACTATTGACTTTTATTAGGGAGCTTGTAGAGAGTCAACAGTATTAGAAACTGTAAGAAAATCACGGCGCCCCACGTTTTTCATCGCTTATAGTAGAGTGATCGCTTGCATTATTGTGATGTATAGTATTTATTTTCTACTTTTTAGTTCAATCAGAAAACGTGGGTTTTTTTAAACTTTTTTAATGATTATTATTTTCTACTTTTTAGTCTTTGTCTGTTTGTTTGCATTGAAATCTTGCTATCGATTTTATCTTTTCACTTTTTTTGGGTAAACGAAGACAACTCGTAAAAAGACAACTCGTAAAAAACGAGAGACCCTTTCTTCTTCGGTCTCAATCGCAAGTGAATGATTGTCAGAGGTTAGTTGATAGCGGTTAGGACGAGGGCTGGTTACTGACTAGAACACATAGATTTGAACCCGTGTCGAGTGGGATAGCAATCGTGTGCCCAACCACTCGACCATATCGTCTCCCCCAAACTGGCCACCAGTGGTAATAGTTACCTCCTGTAAGTTTAAAGTAGGTTCAAACTAAATTATCTGCCCCTAAGCCTGTCGCGACGTGGGATCGTTCGCTTCACTGTGCGCGGCAAGAGAGAGGCGAGCTACGCGTCGCTCGTTTTTTTTCTAATGGCTCGCAGAGGAGAATTATATATAGATTATATAGCGGTCTAAAATGCTCAATAAAATGTTTCCATTGATCAATTTAGTAATAATAACAATTGAATATTCTATGGTCATCCAAAAGAAAGCTTCCCTGAAAATTTCAGCGCGCTAGCTAACTGGGAAGTGCCAGAAATTTCGATCGCAAGATTTGATTGGAAAAACAAACAAACAAACAGAGAAAGCAAGTTAAAGAAAACGTGGGAAAATATATGGGGGGGGGGGGGGGGCAAATTGAAAGTTTGTCCCCGGGGCCGGGATGGGTGGCTACGCCTCTGTCCAGCCTTTCTTCCTGCGTTGCTTTAATTGAATTTTACTTTATTGTAAGCGAGAAGGTGATCCCTCAACTGTACATGACATCAGTGGCGGAACTAGAAAAAAATGGCCACCCCGCAATTTTTTTTTTAGGCCCCCCCTCCCATATATATATATATATATATATATATATATATATATATATATATATATATATATATATATATATATATATATATATATATATATATATATATATATATATATATATATATATATATATATATATATATATATATATATATATATCTATATATATAAAAAGGAATGTATGTGTGTGTGTCCTTTATGCATTGCTACACCTCTCATCACATCGCCGTGAAACTTTGGGAAGTTGTTGAGAATATTCCTGGGGAGGTTTCTGCGAAAAAAAATATTTCAAATTCGCAGGGGTGGCGCCCCCGCAGGGCGCGATTTGTTTTTTTCTATATACGGTATATAAAAATAAAAGTCGATTTTGGTTTGGCATCGTTCATCCTATAGCCATGAGACTTTGGAGAGTTCATTATACCACTCTAGGGAAGGGTTCTGTAAAAAAATAATTTTTAATTTCGCAAGGGCGGCGCCACGGGAGGGTCCGATTTTTCTCTATAATATACGGTATATAAAAATAATAAAAGTGAATTGCAGGG